GGCTGTTGGTAACAACGTCGAGAGATGTTTAGTGGCATTTTTCTGGCCAAATAAAGGACCCTTTGTTGCAAAGATTTTAGCAACGGAGCATTGTAATGATTAGCTCGAGGTTTCCCTTCACCTAGTTAGAATGGGATCAGCAGGAATAAACCTCACAAGTCTAGTATACGAGGAGCCTATTGATAATCCTACTGCTCGAAGAATCTACTTCTGCATCATCAGTAGAATGAAAACCGTATGAGCTCGTATTGTCTCAGAAACTGACATGGGTAGCGACTTGTGCAGGTGATCTGTAAAGAAGGCACGATGGTTCAGCAATCTGTGGCGGAGACCATCTTGGATATAACTTGCGGCACACTTCTTCGCGAGCTCCAGGTGTGTTTAAATTTGTTTAGGCTCAAACCACGAGGTGAATTTTACAGTGGCTCATCTGTACATCTAAAGTCTTTCCTATCCATTTTTATACGAATGAGCTAAGCAATCGAGCCAATCCCCAGTGAGAGGATGATGCTTCTTCTTATTTCGGTCTATTCCGAGATGGTATCTCATTGCCTACATGAGAAACATTGTAGCTCATTTGGGACGAAGTCGGCGAAAGCGAAGTCGAAAGGGAAAAGGTTCTGCTGCAACTGGAGCAGGAGTGTGTGGAGTTTTACAGACGCAAAGTTGATGGGGCTAACGTCGCTCGAGTCCGCCAGCTCCAAGCCCTTGCGAGCGGAGAGGCAGAATTTTTGGAATTGTATTCTGCTCTAGGAGAACCTGCTTTTAGCCAGCGTACAAGCATTTCAACCACTTCTCTTCCCATTTATTAATTTAGGCCGTGTACTCAAGAAATGCATTCCATGCCGTAGACGTTCGTGAATGTTTCACTCCTCGTTGGGTCTTTGTAGAGTAGTGGAGTAGGGTAGTCAGTTTGTCAATAGATATCAGCAATATTTTGAGAATATAAAGTTTTGGTTACCGATTAGAAAAATTTGGATGCGGGTGTGAGCTATTTCTCCAGTCACGACAAGCTATTTCTCTCGGTGATCAGCCTTGGTCTTCGTTCTTGATGCTCCAGCTCAACTTGGGGCACATTAGAACTCGCCATTATGCAAGGGGTTTGTATGACCAATTTGCTGAACATTAGATGGACAGAAAGGTTTTATCGCCATGCGTTATTTCGCTAATTTATCAAGTTTCCCACTAAATCCAGGAGAAGCGTGCTGGCACTTTGAAGGATCAAACTGCTGCAATGGGACCCCAATTGTAGGAACTTCGTCGAAGGAAAGAAGAACGAGTCAGGCAGTTTGTGGAAGTGAAGGCGGAGATTGCCAAGATTGGTGATCAAATTACGGGAAATGGAGAATTCCAGATTCCTGACGAGGAGGATTTGTCGTTAAGAACGTTGGACATTTATCACGGCGAGCTGCAAGCGCTCCAGAAAGAAAAGGTATTCTACTGAGGAGCAGCGACTACTGTGTATAGAATACCTCAAGAGCAGATCTCTCAATATTCTTGGTGCCGTTTAAAGCTCAAAAGGGCTCACAATCAGTTTCATGTATCCATGGTTGCAGTTCTCTTACAATAGACGAAGAATTTGCTTTTCATACATATCCAGAGCTTAGAATCGGCTCCACCTTGTGAGAGTTATTAGTAAGAAGTGATATTGAAGTAACAGTGATCTTTAAGATTTAAGGATTTAGTGAGACTTCTGTTTGAGATTTGCAAATGTTCATGAACCTCATGGCGATTGTGGCAGAGCGAGCGTCTATACAAAGAGGAGGAGTACATGAACACGATGCATCAACTGTGCTCAATCATGGGCATGGACTTCTCTCAAATCGTCGCAGAGGTTCATCCCAGTTTGGACGATTCGCGAAAACTCCCCAAGAGCATTAGCAAAGAAACCCTTGATGGTCTTCGCTAAAACAATTCTTTCATTGCAAGTCGAAAAGAAGAAAAGGGTGGAGAAGGTATTGAATCACAAAATCAGTTCGCATATTCATTTCTAGCTGAAGCTATCTCATTCCAGAACTGATTGAAAATTCACTTTGAAATGTCTTGCACGTCCAAATTAGAAGATAATAGAAAAAATCAAGGTCGCCATACGATAATAGATAGCTATTTGGACGATACATTTCTCTTTTTTCGCATGCATTCAGATTAAAGAACTTGGGACATCAATGTCAAAATACTGGAGCTTGATGGACACTCCTGTCGGGGAGCGGAAAGCTTTGCAGCCGGTTTCAAGCCTCATGCTTGCCAATGAAGACGACATTGTTTGCCCAAGTTCTCTTACTAAGGAAACTATCAAGGAGGTATTTTTTTATTACTCCCAACTTAGTGCATGATATTTAGCCAGTTCTAACCTTCTTGGATGAAGCTTTTGAAATCGATTCTACTTTTTCTGAGGCTCTTGGTTTTCCTGCTTTGATAAAACCGTTCAAGTTTGCAATTCAATTTGTTGATGTTCTGGTTGGTAGTGAGGCCACCGTGTCTTGCTTCAGCTCCTCCTAAAAAGCCCCATGGGCTCTACTTGTTCACTAGGTTCAGACTGAAGTAGAAAGACTGGATGTGCTGAAGAAGAGCAAAATGAAAGAACTTGTGCTGAGAAAAAGGCTTGATCTAGATGAAATAGGCATTCATGCTCACCTGGAACCGGATGCCGACACCGCCGCGGACAAGCTCATTGCCAAGATAGATTCAGGTATCAAACAACGCAACGGATGAAGAATGCTAATAAGATCTCCCAGCTTGCGCTTCTTAAAGTACCCGATTGCAGTTCCTGTGCTAAGTGGGTCAAATTTCGGACTGCCAGGAGTGGTGGACACAGCGGAGCTTCTCTCAAAGCTTGAAGACGAAATTGCCAAAGTCCAGGGTGAGAGAGCCAGCAGGAAAGATATTATGATACAAATGGAGAAGTGGATGACGGCCTGTGAAGAGGAGGGGTGGCTCGAGGATTACAATAAGGTACTCGATACAGAGTCTTATGTGATACAATTGCATTAGAAAGAATCATTTTGCCCAGCACTTGGAATTCCATAAGTTTTTCCTCTCTTGAATCTAAGAAGTTTAATCTTGCACAGGAGTTTTCAGGATGGAAATAGATTCAATGCTAAAGGTGCACATTCAAACCTGAAACGAGCCGAAAAGGCACGTGCAGCAATCGCCAAGCTTCCCGGTGAGTCTCTTTCTCACTTCGCTGCTGATAGTAGAATTCCTTACCAGCGCTCACATATGATCTCTGTCCCACCCCACATTGTAACAGATTGTTCCTTCAAAATGTCCAAACAAATCAGCTGAGTAGGTGGACTTTGAACAGCGATGGTGCATTTACTGATGCAAAGGACGAAATCTTGGGAGGACGAACGCGGTGTTCCGTTTATGTTCGATGGGGAATTTGTCCTCACTGGCAAGCCAAGCAGAATCTGTTAGTAACCCATCTACGTGTTGACCATTTGACTCCTGTTTTGAACTCGGAGTCCATCTTAGGACCTTATTTTGCGTCACTCGTGCAGGTGCGGCTGCTGTGTATTCTGAATGAATATAAGAAACTTCGAGAAGATAAAGATAAGGAGAAGCGACGACTGAAGGTAATAGAGTGTAGAAACCTCTTACTATGAATGTTGCAAGTTGCCATAACGTTGTTCTCGTCACTGAAGTAATAACTTTGAGCACTTCTCAGAACCACAAAAAAGTTCAGGATCAGGCTGAGGAGGCACATTTTGGGGCAAGAGCGAGCCCTGCTAAACCTGCGCCATTGAGCGGTAAGAAAGTGGAGAGAAGCCCCAGAATGAGCAACATCGGAGGTAATGGGCAGAATCCAGCAAGTAGGAGCTTGTACCTGTGCGATGCTGCGACGCAGCATCCAGGAGCTCCAGAATTGACTCGCAACGGAAACACAAATGCACGGTTCGTGGCTTCCAACGGCACCGACAAGGATTCGAAACTTGAAAGCACCAAACCTGCTACGCCTGAGAAAGAGAATGCCCGCACTGGTAGAGAATCGACGCCGAAGTCCCCTCAGTTCCAGTTCTAGGCCTCGCTTCGGCACTTGGTATAAAATCTAGACTTCTCTACTTCAGACCTTCCGGTGTGAGACAATGTTGTGGATGTTTGCGGCTTTTCTATGGTTGTGTCCACCATCTCTCACCCATGCGAAATGAGACTTCAGTCACATTACCATTCGGAGCTTGTGATTACGCTTGCCAGTTTATAAGCCTCGTCTCAATTTCCTGATTCCCTTCGTTACGATTGCCTCAGCAGCGCAGTAACTAGTTTGGTAAGCGACGGTGACGGTGACGGTGACGCAGGCAATCAGTTTTAACTCACAGCTTTCGACCACACTAAATCTAACTGCTTACTGCAAGAGCTTCTTGCACTATCCCCCGCTCAGCGACGATTTGCAGGGCAGCTGCAAGGAACTTTGCCTTGCTTGAGATTGATCCTAGAGTCCAAAGCCTCGACGATGCCGGACCAAATTGTGCGCCAACAGTAATGCTCAGGTTGGAGGGCGTGTTGGGCACCGAGGCCTCGTCGATGGTGGCAGGTTACGAAGTGTAGGCTATCATTGAGGGGATTACAGAGAAATCAAACTCTGCATCAACTTCCTTTGTCATCCTTAGAATTGAACCTGACTGCTGATCTAAGAAACTCTTGAACTGTGAACAGCAAGAAGGTTTTACTTCAAGATGCTCACCAAACCAGACATAGATGCTTCAGCTATGCTGTAATACAGTGCAAAGAAATCTCGGGCAACCAGACATATCGGCGAAGAAATCAGGTTGATTTAGATGTCAATCATGCCGTAAGCCCGAAGATTTAATCCGTGAACTACTACTCTGCAATTACTAAGTCACAGTCTCGTATTTGTGCTTTCTCAGCCCTTGAATTTATGCAACAGTGAGTGGACTCCAAAAGCGTTAATATCTGTTACTAGTGGCTGCGAAATACAGATAGGTGGATATCGCAAATCGTTCAGACGAGACGGTACATGCTTCGCTAATAATGATTCAAGATTGGTTTTGCTGGGAGAATACTCAGGCAACGTTAAATTGTAACTGTACAAAAGTAAGACATTCTTCACTGAGGAGCCAACATGGATTGGCTCAGAATGAGATCATATGCCTACAGAAAATCTTAGGCTTTCGAGGACTCATACTCGCTTTTCCTTTGCTGGCACGCGCCACTAAGTATAATAAGCAATAGTCTGAAACTTGCATGACCGTAACCGAAAACCTTGCTGAACCCCAGTTGAGTAGACTGGTGATAAAACTGTAGCAATGAGGCAATTCGCCTAGACCTCACGATGGCTAAATGTACAGTAAGTAGACAAAACTGTCGATGAATCGGTTGCTTGCTAGCTGTTACCACTGCCCCAGTATCCGGTTTACGCGTCGATACAGGGAACGCTGGCTCGCCGCTCCTCAAACGAAAACTCAAGACTGTGTTGCATGCGAGGGACCGTATTCTCCAAGTCTCCAACCCGGGGACTGCTGGGAGTAGCCGTCTTCATAGGACTCTTCATGTAAGCAGCTGAGGGGGTGGTAGGCCTATTTACCGCTGAGTAGGCTGCACGGTTGCCGGCATCACCGACATGAACTTCCTGCAATGCGGCTGCAGGAGAGAAAGCGCACAGAGGTTGACGAGAAGCTACAGCTGATTCTTGTGCTTGGGGCTGACTACGGGTAAACACACCATTCTTGCAACCTAACAAAGAAGTCATAATGGAATGACTCCTTCAGTCAGACTGACCAACGCATGGACAGTACGGCGACATCTCTTCAAGCCAGCAAATGACTTTCTTTACAAACTGCTGATGTTTCCAGACAGATGTTATATCGGATGCGTGGTTGCGGCTCCACGACAATCACCGGAATCGAGGGGAAGTAGGAACTGACGAACCTGCAGAGCTTGGATCGTCCTTGCTATTCACGATGTGGTTGGAAGGGGCGGCAGGACGTGGTCGCCCTGGCTTCATGTCTTTGCCAACTGAGGACCCCGTACGTGTGAAACTCCCATTCCGAGTAAACTCCGGAGTTGCTGGCTGCATTATAGCACTCCCAAGAGAGAGCCGCCTGTTTGGTACAGATTCTTGACGCGTACCAATACTACTGGCTCGAGAACCGATGCCAGCTCTTCTAGGGTTAATGGCTATCTTACTTGGACTGGGCTTCGACCCAAACAGACTCTCTTTCTCATTCAACAACTGTTCTTGCAGCTTCTTCTGGTCCTGCAGAAACAAAAGAACGACATACTCAGAAGCACGCTTAAGTTGGATCCACTAGTAAACGATACATGAGATTTAGGGGCAGAATGAGGAGCTTGACAAGAGTAACACGAGATGCTTTCGAGGGATCCACAGTGAAGGCAAGCGAGGGTAATACCCTTAATCGCCGCTTCTCTTCCTCCTTCTCTTCTCTAAGGTGGTTGTATTCATTCAGCATTGCAAGCAGCCGTACCTACCCAACCGCCATCGACCCCATTGTTAGTACAGCAATTACATATCAATTGAACATGCCTGTGTAGACAGGCCAATGATTAAATAAGAGTAGGGACTCACCCCATCAAACTTAAAAGGAGCATTTCGTTCTTCTTCCCAAGCTCGAGTCTTCTGCGTAAGTGAATCCACCAAAGCTGCGATCGAAAGCAACAAACGATACAGTCAATTCATCGGTCACTACAGATGATAGGGAGAAAACTAAAGAAGTGATAAGAGAAATGCGGACATGGTGAGGGCATATGTGCGCCTAATACCTGGTAATTTAGCGATGGCTGCGCGCGCCTTCTCGGCACGCTTGAGATTGAGGTGTGCACCTTTGCTCGCAAATCGGTTCTCATCCTGCAGAAGAGAAGTAGATGTCAGCCCAAATAACATCAAGACCAAAGGCCACAAAATTAGAATTTGTTAACGATCCAGTTCGAAATGACCTTGTTGTACTCTTCAAGCCATCCCTCCTCTTCACAAGCAGACATCCATTTCTCCATAAGCACCATAACATCTCTCCTGCTGGCCACTTCTTGTTTCGCTTTGCTAATCTCGCCCTCAAGATTAGTGAGAAGATCAGCTGCTTCAACCATGCCGGATTCAATCAAAGCAACAAGTCTTTCTTCGGCGGTGCTTGGATCTGGCTCCATATGTGCATTCCTGCACACTTCCTCAAGCTCCAACCGCTTTTTCAGAACGAGATCCTTCATCCTGCTGGTTTTCAACAATTGTAATCTTTCGACCTCAACCTCTGCCTGTTACCATAAAAGACACCCAATAAAATTGTTAGCGTGTAAAAACCAACATGAAGTAAACGGGAGGGCTTAGACCTTGTGAACACCAAGGACCTGGCAGGTGCCACTTTCATTCGCGATAGAAATAAACATTACATACTGGACAATTTTCCCATAATCATGACCGCCAATACGTGCCCCTATTACAGACCTGCTCAATATTCTCCAAGGAGAGGCATCCCCTAGCAGTGATGTCATCTTCCTCAACCGCAATGTTACAAGTGATATGCTCATACATTTGTTGTTCTTGAATTGGGGCATCCATCAAGTCCCACAACTCCAACATTGACGTGCCCAGTTCCTTGACCTGCGGAAACAATAGAGAACTTCAGAAACGCAGAGATCACGGTCGTGAATCAGATGCAATTCCAAAACGCACACCAGAGCACGGTTTAAATTAATGGTAGACAACCTTCGAAACTCGTTGCCTCTTTTCAGCTTCCAGAGACTGAATGGTCTTCACAAGAAGATCAAGAGTGTCATTGCTAATACTCTTCGGAAGTCCCTTCGCTTCATCCAGACTAGGGTGAACCTCAGCGACGAGTTGGAAAAAATCCATTCCCATCACTGAACAATACTGATGGATCAAGTTCACATACTCCAGCACTTTGTGCACACGTTCACTCTGGTCAATAGCACAATCAATGTCACACATCTGTCAGTGTTGATTGAGGAAACACGCAGTGTCGTCCGAGAATAAATCACGACCTTAAATGTCCTTCTTATACAATGGAAGAAGGCGACAGAGCCGCACGGGAGACATTTAGAATAAAATGGAAAAGAAGAGTAAATGCTTACCTTCTCTTTCTGTAGAGTGGCTAGTTGAGCCTGGTACTCTTCGAGCCTCCTCAGGGTGAGGTCCTGCTCATCATCATCGTACATATCCGAATAATTCGATCCTGCAATTTCCCCGCAAATGTTGGCAATCTGCGTCTTCACTTCGCGGAATTGTCTCGCACGTTCCTCCTTTCTCTTGCGTAGTTCATCTAGATGAGGTCCAATCGAGGCAACTTGCTCCTTCAAAGTGCCTGTGCGTCTTTCCTAAAAGATACCAATAAGCTAGTTCTCAACAAAGACAATTCATGTGAAATCACCACGAGGTGCTACCCTGCTTGGATTAACATTCAAGTGGAGACATCTCCCAAGAAAAATTGACGAAATAGCGGACGACACGCTTAGGAAACTATGACTTCACGAGACATACTCGTAGACTTAGCGTAGGTTCACCGAGAGCAGAAAAGAGCGCTGCAAATTCCCCCTCGGCGTTAGCAAGAATTTGATGCAGACGAGCGCGGTTATGACTGGCATTATCCACTTTCCGTCTGTAAACCTCTAGACATTCCTGCTCTAACTGTAAAAGCATCTTATCTCTTTCGGCGTCGCTTTCTCCAACTTCATCCCATATGTGCTGCAATCAATCTCCATATCAGCAAACGTCCAGAACGAAGTGAATAATATCAAATGCAATAAATCAGGCTTGAATCAAACCTAATAACACAAGCTGACCTGGAGCTCGCGAAGCAACGAGCCACATGTAGTATCAACGTGCTGTACTCCAGGTTGCTGGCCCATTGCTAATCCACTGATAGTCACCTGAAGATTACGTTCAAACTTACATGAGAGTGTGAGCTACGTTTCACATTGAGAACGAGGCACATTGCAGCATCGCTGTACATCAAAGGATCACAAATAACGCTAATCCTGTCGCCGCAAAATGTAACTCGCAATCCTACTGAGTGCAGAAAATCGTTTCAAGCGCGGAAATCTTTCTGTAGTCCTCACATTAGTTCCATCCCCGAAAAAGAACTCTAGATAAACTCACTAAATCTTTTATCGTACCGGAATACGAGAATACAGGACAGTATTAAGCAAAGGCCACCATATCTAGGCCTAGACAGGGCAACAAGACCTCACAAGAAAACGATCAGGCGAAACAACCTAAACTAACCACAACTTCAAGCCGTCAAATCAGAAGGACATCGCAAAATGCATCTAAAACCCGCAGAAGCAGCAATTCTAACGCCATACTCCAAAGCCACACCAGGAAACCCGACATGGAGAGATTGCACCACCTGCGAGTCGATCTCGGACCCAGAGAACAAAGCACTCCGCTACACATAAACTCTCCTCCGCCCGAGCTTCTCCGAGAGAGATCCAAACAGCTCCACGTCCGGGCACCATGCACCAAACGTTCCTCACAAAAAACTCTTCGCGACCAAGACCTTAACCGAACAATGCCGCCACGGTACGCTCCTCGGTTTCCCTGGAAGGTCGGCGAACCGCAGCTGCGAGCAAGTCAGTAACGGACGAATCTCTATTGCGTCCTGGATCGCGATCACCAAGTGCGGCAAGGATCGAAAAGCTTAGAGAACGTTGATGAAATTGAATCGACAAGCTTCGCGGTTCGCCAATGAGGCCGGAAGCGAGCGGCCCTATTCCGCCAAGATGCTTGCCCCTAGCTCCGCACCCTACGGCCCAAGCCCGCCCGCCAGCGTGGCTGATTGGAAGCTCCTGAGTGGCCAGATCCCTGAGTAGATTCGTCGATACCAGTGAGAGCCAATGAGCGCGTGCCGCGTAGATCGCGGGCGAGTTTTGAACTCGGAACGGGTGGGAGGGAAACGGGGGAAGAGGCCGTTGGAGCGCGGGGCTACGTCAGCGTGACTTTCTCGTTTAATTCATTCAGTGCCGTTTGATTCCCAAGCCCTCCTCAGCACCCTTTTACAAACCCCAATTGAAACCCTGGTTTTCCAATCCCTTCACTCGGAGCTGTGATTTTCCAGGGTTGGCAACCAATTCCTTACTTAGACGTTATTATTCCAGCATGAGAATACACTTCCCGACACACATCTTTTAAGCTACTAATAGTTTCAACTGTTTTTATAAAGAAAAATGAGCATTTGATTCGCTTTGGAAACTAGTACATCTGTTTGCCACAGATGCAAAATTTTGGGGTGTTGTATTTTGTATGAGTTCATAAAACTTGCTGCAAGCATATTTCCGTGTTTTTGTTGCACTCATGGTCAGGTTTAAAATTAAAATGTAAGGTTAGAACTTGTGTTATTAATCTATGAAAAATGATATTTGAAGGTTTAAGAGCACTGTGTTTGTATAAAAAGGATGTAGAGAAATCTCGTTGTGTTTAAAAATAAGAGAAAACTTGTTCTAGAAAAGTTTCATATTTTTAATCACATTTCATTTTTTAGAAATAGTAAAAAAAACATAAATATTTGTGAGGTTATTTTTCAATTTGGAAAATATTTGGATCTTGGTTTTGAAGTAGTTATTTTAAGATTGCTATTTAGTGATAGATATGTGCAATTATGTTGAGTGATATTTTAATCAACATATTATTGTATATTAAACTAAAAATATTCTATTTTTATGTCAGTATATATTTAGTCTAATTTAGTAAGACCTAAAAATATTAATATAGTACTCAATGTATAATACACAGTCCAATTGCCTGTCATATATAGACTTACAAAAGTTATTTGAGATGCAAAAAAATGGTAGTCTTAGAAATCAAAGACAAAATTTGCAATAAAAACTAGATTCATATAATATACATAAGTGCTTACATTAAGTTCTTATTTCTAGAAAAAACATGCAATGGATTTAAAACAAAGGAAGAAAGAAAGTTTGTGGATATTAAATGCACATACTTATTTTGTTGCATATATAAAATATTTAGATTTTGGAGAAATTATTTTAATAATGCTCATTGAGTTGCAATTTACACAATATTTTGCAAAATAATTTTGTGATCTTCTTTTATAAAACTAGCGGTTGGCGCTTGATTTGCAACGCATTAGTCCAACCATTTTAATGTAGTTCTTATATTACAAAATAGTTTAAAAAGAAGGTAACAACAATCTACATATATAAATATGTCTTCATGACCTAAGCATGAATTTTAAGAATGTAATATAATAGAATGGAGTAATAAATTTTAGAAATAAAATGCATCTAAAGATGCATGCATTGGAAAATATCCATTCATTGAATAGTGAAATTCAAGATGTAACCTTCTTCAATTGAATGGTAAGTTGTCTCAATTGAGAAAACATAATTGAACACCAAAAGAATGCAATTGGATGGAAGGGGACGTCGCCAAAGCGTGCATGAACCCTAAACATGCAGAGTTTGAAACAAACTCTTAACTTTTCCATCCACCTGATTGAGGTGTAAATATTTATAGGAATTTATATGACAATGTCATGTAAAAACCTCATGATAAACAATGTTTTTAACCGTTCCCACGGCTTCATTGTTGTCATTGGCAACCTTAATGTTTGCAGGATGTCTACCACGAGACAATGCCACATATAATTGACCATGGCTAAATACTTCATTGCGAAGATAAATGCCAACTCGATCATATGATTGGCCCTGCGATTTGTTGATTGTCATGGCAAAAGCACCAGTGACAGGAAATTGTCTCCGGCAAAGTGTGAATGGCAAGCGGCTATCATTGCAATGATGTGTGATTCTAGGAATCAATACCTCTTGGCTACGATAGCGTCCTTCTATAATTTCACATAACAACACACTTGAAGACACTTGCAAAAGACGCAAACAACTACTATTGCACAAACCTTTTGCCGGATTCAAGTTCCTTAGCAACATCAAATATTGGCCACATTTAAGACTTAATTGGTGAGGAGGTAAACCGCTCAATTGTAAAGAATTCAAAAACTCTACTGGGTAATGATGGGCATGTTCATCATTCTCGTGAACAAAATCAGTACTAAAACATTGATGCACATCACCAGGTATACGATCGGTGATTTTTCGGTTGATTTCTTGGGCATCATCATTCCGGACAGCCAAAATGACGCACTCAAAAAAATCAACCGGATCATCAAAAATAGCATCAATGAGACCATCTAAAGAATTTCCAGGAGCAATTAATCCTAGCGGTAAATCTACCTTTGGACCGGTTTTGTCCTCACCAATATCTAACAAAAATCGTTGAAAGTCCAGTTGACTTTGCAAACGCATGTTAGTGGTCAAATGTAAATGTTGCATTAGTGGAAATAGGTATGAATGTCGAAAGCAAGCTTGAACAGTTTGCTTGCGACCTCCACGTACAACTACAAGCAAAGTTTGGCGAAAATCACCGCCATATAATACTACAACACCACCATTTGGACTATCTATATTGCGTATATCTCGCAATGATCTGTCTATAGCTTCAAACATAAAACGATGCCCAGCACAAGCTTCATCAAGTACAATCAATTGTACTTCACGTAAGCTTTGACCTAATGTAGACTGGGCACTAATGTTACAAATTTATGCATCGTGCAACTGTAAAGGAATAGCAAGAGCTGAATGTGCCGTTCGCCCTTCATTCAAAAGGCATGCCGCAATTCCACTTATTGCCATTGCCATACACTTGACATTATGACCACAAAGATAACCCAATATGGTGTTATACAAAAAGGTCTTACCTGTACCACCACGACCATCTAAAAAGAAAAGCCGATCTGGAGAATCAGAATTTAAAACGGCAGTGGTCACCGCATTAAAAACAATGTATTGTTCTTCGTTGAGCCTACCTACATCCTCCTCTAGAAAAGTAATGTTTTGGTTATCAAAATCAATATTGTCATTGGAATCACCGCCAACATCAACAATGTTTGAATAACCAAACTCATTCAATTCTTCGATATAAAAAAAATCTGTAAGATGTTTGTCTGATGATGACAAATATTCTTCAATGGACAAAATTGCTTTGCAATAGCGATTTTGATCATTGCGCCAATCATCAAACATAGCATCAAGATGTGTCTTTAGTAAGCTAAGAGGATCTAGCGGTTGTCCAAACATAAGAAGTGTTGCAAACAACCACCGAACTTGTTTAGGCAACGCAATGACGGTTGCCTCTTGGAGACAATTTTCCCATTCAGAATCATCTTGTAAAAGTCCTCTTGCAATACAAGCGGCCTTGTACATTGGATGCACTATATCATGAAAACAAAGTAGGTCCTCAAATGAAGTTGGTGCCTCGACATGAGTCAACAACAAATGCAAGTAAAATACTTCGGTACCTGTGGGAACCATGTTTATCCGACCAAAAACTTTTATCTTACGTACTCTTCTTTCCCACATGTTATTCTTCACATCCCACTTGTAATAGAGTGGAAGATCCATGTAACGAAGAAGCATATGGTTGCCTTGATTGTCAGAAGCAATTAAGGCATGAATATGGCAATTAAGCTCAAAAAACTTAGTGAGTTTAGTCTCAGCATTTTGATCAATCACCGAGTGCTAAGATGTTCCTCCCTTAAAAATAACATATTGCTGACCGAGAAGGTGAACAGGCAAACGACAAATACTATGGCTCTTATTACTAGTTTCAAAACCAAAGAGCCTCCAACATGCTTCTTGGGCGGCCACATAACGACCCTCCAAGAAATCCTTAATCTCATCTACCACTTCATCTGTTTCTACAACACCACGATCTGGACCTTTAAAAATATACTTGTAGAGGTATTTGACAGTTTTTACAGAACTGCAAATTTCCACATTAATGTGACAATTAAAGCAACCTATCAAATATGGATTGTATGGCACAACCCATCGATTGTCTAAACGGACAATTTGTCCACGTATACGTTTCTCGATATATCGACCTTGATTTCGACGACGGTATAAAACATGTCAGTCACCATCTACCTCGGTAGTATCTCGAGCTTGCATTGGATAGTGTCAAGGACAAGAACTCGATGAAAGCTAAAGAGTAAGTGAGACTTTCACTCAAAGAAAGTAACAAAATATAAATAAACAAGTATATATATTGAAAGAGAAACTGGAATGGCTATTGCCAAAATACAAGAAAACTAGAGACCCTTGAAACTAGACTAGAAGCAAGAAAGGAGTTGACAAGAGTGAAGAGGGCTTCACTCTTGCCTCTATATATACTATCTAACTAGAAGCCACGTGGCGATGTTCTATAAGACCTCCAATATATGTTGACTTTCTAAGCCACATGCCTTTGCTTGCAAGGCAAGTTTTCTATGGATGGACCACGTAGTTAGCTTGTTCTTTAAGCTTCCAACATGTGTGGCACATGGTTAACTTGTTGACCAAGTTTCTAACCTAAAAGTCAACTATAGACTCCTATAAAGTCAAAGCAGCGTCTATGAAGCTTCTAAGAAGCTTCTCTAGAAGATAATATACAATTAACCTATTTTTATATACTTTTACATACTTTTATCTATTCATATAGGTAATTATATGTATGTCCGTGACATTACCCCCCCTTCTAGGGACGAGTTCCACGAAGAGCAGTGATTATATATTGAGAAAATCTAATATGCGACGAATTGTATTTGCTACATACTCTGATCTTTGTTCTCTTCGAAGATAGTTGATGGGTCCTCTTAGCCATCGATAGTGTCCCATTCT